ACACACACACGCACAGACACACACACACACAGACACACACACACACACACACACACAAGAGGACACACACACAAGAGGACACACACACAAGAGGGCACACACACAAGAGGACACACACACACACCAACCCTAGCTTGGCCCCTTTTTTTGTTGATTTGTTTTAAATTTTGTATCTTCATTTTTTTTTAAACACCTAATTTCCCTACAAAAAACCGAAAATCGTTTCTGAAAAAAATACAGCACAACTCAGGGACCATATCCCTCATGATAAAAAATGCCAAAAAAAAATTCCTGCTTTAGTTATTATTATTATTATTATTTAAATCGAATTTTGTTTTTTATTTTTTTTTAAATCTTAAACGAAGTCGGACTCCAAAATAAAAAAGATAGGGTTGTAGGGTTTGCCAAGCCCTGCACCCTTATATATATATATATATATTTAATGTATTCTTAGGGGGGGGGGGATATTAAAAAAACAGGCCGCGGACTGGGCCTCATCGGTCGCGACCGACTTTTTTGGCCGCAGCGGCCGAATAGCCCGCGACCTAGGCCGCGGGTGTCACGTAGGGTGCAGGTGGCGTAGGTATGTTGTATTTTATCCTGGTCTTGTATTGTCGGTAGGTCTTTGTCCATGTGGACTAGGTAGGGAGGAGTTAGAAACTTGCAGATAGCGTCACCTTCGTTTTTTCTTCTTTTTTTGTTATTTTAGCTCAACGAACCTGTTCGATGCATATCTGTTGCTGATATGCAACGAACCTGTCCAATGCAGGTGGAGTGGGTATGTTGTATTCTATCTTGGTCTTGTACCGTCAACAGGTCTTTGTTCATGTGGACTCAGTCGCGCAGGTGTTTTATTCGGTGGATGCATTCCTAGGTGGGGATGTGATGTTATCTCTACTCATGATACTTGGTATCTTTGTTATATCGACACATGCAGGCCTTACTGTGCCACTTGGTTATTTTGTCTTCATTCACTTATCTCCCTTTCTATGTGCTTATGAAACCCTCTCGCGCGACATACCAAAACATTTAATGTATGGTGGTTGATATTGGTGTGTGACACTTTATGTTCCTGTTACCCTGTTGTTAATTGAGCCCTCGAACTTCATGTACAATGCATTTGATAAATGGTCTGATGTTGTTCATGCTTTGTGCGATCCATTGCATTATTACCTGTTTTGTGTGGTATTTTTGTTGCCCCTTCGTTGCCAAAAACTCTATTAAAACCCCATTGACCCAACCCAGAATGGACCCTCACACCCATAGACACCCTCTACCACCCCCCACACCACCCCCCAGACCACCCCCCACACCACCCCCCACACCACCCCAACACCTGTGTATCCTTTTAACGGAGAACGGGTGGAGTTAAACGACCGAACACCCGTTTAACGAGCCCGAGGGCCCCCGTTGAATCTCGTTTAACGCAAAAACGTGGGCATCGCGTCGAATTCCGGAAAACGGAATTCGCGCGTTGGGCCTTGGACACGTGTGCCTACATGCTCGAACACTTGAACCGGGGAAAAAAA